ACATTTATCATGACAATGTTTTGGTCTTGGGAACTAATACTGGTCACCAGAGGAAGAAAGATTCAGAAAAAGTAAGTCAGTGAATACAAAAAGAAATGTTTGGCAAGCAGGTCAGAAGGAAAATACTTTCTTAGGTAACATATGAAATCTTCTAAATCTGCTGAGCAAAGCGTCTTCGAATAAACATGTTTTTTTTTCTTCTTTTACGTCTTTCAGACTGGCTACTGTCAAGAAAACACTAACTTTTCCAAAAGTGATTTTAAGAGAAAAAACATTTTTACCAGTAGTTAATTTGAAGATGCAATAATACTGTAATCTGTTCGCTCTGGTATGTATCTGACTTAGCTGAAAAGTAAAGTGTTTTCAGTTCCATCTTAGATATAATGAGGTTGTTTGACTCGCTATGAAACTATACTTGTTCAGGAATAATTAGCACATACTAGCATGCTTAGCTAAATTAATGTTAAGCATTATGACTGCTAAACTTTAGCATGTTAGCAAAATCACGATGCCAAAAACGGCAGTTCTTCAAGTAGCCACTAGAGGTTTGCTTCAACACGTGACTTTCATGAGGAGTACAAACAGTATTGAAGAAGACATTTGTTGGACTCGTTATCCTTCTTTTATTTTCTTCTGCCTGGGTGGCTGCTACAATGCTTCAGGTGTTCCAAAGTCAGGCCCTGTGATTAGTTTAATTTGCACAAACCCCACACCTGTTGCCCCTGTGCCGCCTGCAGCTGGAGTCCCTCAGCAGGCTGACAGACCTTCCCTTGGTTAATCCAATCTCCTCACAAAGACCAGGACAAGAGCATTTGTTTTTCTACCTCTTGTCTGCTTTCGTGTTCTCATGGCCACCAAGCTCCTGATGGCTCATTATTCGACCATTCATAAATACACCCACAAGTACCCACCTGCCTTTTTTTTTCTTCTTTTTTTTTACAGCCTGCTGCTGTTTTCCCCTATTGCTCCTCACCTGTCTTCCTTTTCCTGTCATTAAGGTGGGAAGAGTTTTCCCTTCAGGTTCAGAGGAGGCCCAACTGCCTACCACATGACAGCCCTCCAGTATCCACATACTCCATTTGGATTTGAAACAGCGCCAGGAGAAAATCAAGTGACACAGGCCACACAGAGTGGGAGGGAGGGAGGGAATGTGATCCCACTTGATTGTTGAGAGTTTATATAGCGAGTGATGACAAAGTGCTTTATGACTTTGCAGTGTTCGCTGGGCCCTGCGATTGAAGCCTTATACAGGCAAAGCCCCCCGGTGACCTTGGCTTGTCAAATGTTCTCATTTTCGCCAGGAAGGAGCCAGTGTTCAGTGGCTGCTCACAACTGGTGGGCTGCTTTTAGAGAGACAGGCGCAGAGAGCTTTTGGAGGTGACCCATGCTTCCTTACTTTCACTGCCGTAAACATTATGGACAAAAAGCATCAGTCAGAGAAGAGTTCAGGCCTGCTAGCACATTGAATATAAGCCTTTGTATAAAATAAAATGTTTTCAACTTATTTCAAAGTCTACACTTGTTATTTTGACTCTGTGAGGCTGCATATCAGTCTTGGGAGTTAAATGCTAACAGCTGCATGCAATAAAAAAATTTACACATTTTAAATTTGCACATCATATTTTTTCCATGGTGAAATATGATACCACCAAAGTTATTAGAAATACTTCTGCGACATGAAGACTTGCATAAAATGTCAAATCAATCAACCGAACAGTCTGAGTCTTTCACTACACTAAGGGAGATGACATTATTCCCAACTAGATTTCCAGAGGAGTCATAGGATAGTTCCACAGGGGCAAAAGCAACTGCTAGAGTTCCACAGGCCGTGTCACACATTAAGTATTACATCAGATCGCTCCCAGCTGCATGCCACATGCATCTTATCTCACAGGGAACAGGAAGGAGAGGCATTTCATCCTCAGGCCCCCACTTCCTGCACCATCAATGACCTTTACTACGCAAATCTTTACAGGACACTTCCTGTTGAAGGAAGATTTTTGGAAGCCACGTTGGGCGGAGCTTAAAGAATCAAGAGCTGGACCTATGATGCATGAATGTGAACTATTACAAATCAATGCTATATGGAAACAAAGGCTGGTCCAGGATCAACGCTCAAGGACTCAAGAAGGATTTTTAAACGAGTAGAGATGATGCTGGCGTGATGCAGACAGTCACGCTAGCCCTCTGACTGGCTGCTAAGGGCTAACAACCCTTGCATTGATCCGAGGAGACACTCAGCCCTCTAACCTGCTGAGTGCTCAGTTCCAGTGAACAATGGAGTTCGGTGCGCGTCGATACACTACCCTATTGAGTGCTCTCCGTTTAGCAGCAAGATTGATGAGGTTAAGGCTCCCAACCAGGGAGCCAAATGGTGTCAAAACCAAGGTGTTGCTTTGGACAAACAATCCCTCGCTGAATTACCACACCAAGAGGGTGCTGGTAACCGGCTAATACACTATCCTCAACCCATGCAGTGCATTTGTATTAGTACAAGGTTTCTGAAAGGGTATGCAGGCTGTGCTGGATGTTGTTAAGACTTTAAAAATGCAGATGAGAATATGAGGGCAGGATAGATGGTGCTTTCTGGACAGGAATGCACAGCAAATCCCCAAAGACACTACATGATGTACAAGTGGATTTATTACAGTAGGGCCCTATAAATCTAAGGTTGGCCTGAACTCCAGGGAGAGGTTAATGGATTACAAAGGGATGTGGTATTGAACCTCGGCGAAGTTTATACACCTCATCAATATGTGAAACACTATTGATCATTCAGACCTTGATAAATTAAATTCATACAGTTGATAATGCATGGCAATATTAGTAATACCTCGGAAGAGGGGAACTGGGCTTTTTCAGCCAAGCTCTTTTTAGAAAGGGAATCTACGGTGGCATCTTGAATTTACATGATTGTAGAATTTGCATATTGGACAAAATGGACTGTGCCAGTGTGTGATTTGATCAGTGCTGTCAATACTGGGGACCTGAAGACATAGCAAGCCACTCCCCCTGTACAAGCAGGACCCACCCACTGTTTTCTTCTCTCTAAATGAATTACCTCTACTTTATTCGCCCCTACATTGAGATATGATCTAGATATAATAGACAAGAACATTTTAAAAAACTTGGAGAATATCGAATATGGGCCTGTGCAAGGGATACTATAACTAGCAACACATTAGCTTTCTGACTAAATCTAAAGCAGCTTTAAAATATCATGAACTCTGTTATAGGAAATACAGCTGAATAATGCATGATGTTATACGGAATAAAAATGCATCCACACTCAAAACATACCAGTAATGGCTCACCTATACTTGGCTCTTATTGAACGATTGTCTAAGTGAGTAGCTGAGAAAGACAAAGAATAATTCAGTTGTAAGAAAATGTTAAGGTGAGCCTGACAAACTGCCTCTGAGATGTCCAAAAACAAATATTGTCAAGAATTAACCCTTAATAAGGTAAAATGACTTATCTTGAATGTTTTGAGAAATGTTTTGGTGGGTAACAGTGGGTAAGAATTTAAGCAGAGTGTAGCAATCTCTACTTTTTGTACCTATTTATCAAGTCTGATCAGTGTTTCCCCTACCATTATATTAGGGGGTGGATTGCCAGTGTGGTTTCTTTTGGTTTCTGTAGTAGCACTCAAATGGGGTTTCCTGTTCGATTACGATCATATTTTCAGATACTTTTTGTTAACTTTATTTTTAAATGCTCAATTGTAAGATAACTTAATCTAATCTAAATCACAAAAATGAGGCAGAGTTAGACAAGCAGAAAAAAAGAAAGGAGAGGTGCTGTAATAATATCAAAGGACAATAAGGTAAACTGTGACAGGCACATTAATCTGATGTCAGTAGGGTAGAACTGAGCTCTGAAAAGGAGAAAAGACTTGATGAAGGGATAACCCAAAAATGTGTGTTTCCCCTAGGTTTACAGCGTTGGGGGGGTGGGGACATGCCGACACGGTGACAGAAACACTTGAAGGAATCTTGGTGTTCATGTGTTACTTTTAATGACAGCTGTCCTTTTCTATCGGAAAGATATCCTTAAATGACTTATTTCCCTGATTTACGACTCAATCCACTATCCTATCGCTACAATAAAGGCACAAAAAGCTCAAAAATAAATCTTTAAAGAAAAAAAATATATATGTTATTATTATTATTTATTTTTTTTGACCTGGGGGGGGGGGCTGTTGAGGGCTTTTCAGAGCTCAGTTCTACCCTACTGACATCAGATTAATGTGCCTGTCACAGTTTACCTTATTGTCCTTTGATATTATTACAGCACCTCTCCTTTCTTTTTTTCTGCTTGTCTAACTCTGCCTCATTTTTGTGATTTAGATTAGATTAAGTTATCTTACAATTGAGCATTTAAAAATAAAGTTAACAAAAAGTATCTGAAAATATGATCGTAATCGAACAGGAAACCCCATTTGAGTGCTACTACAGAAACCAAAAGAAACCACACTGACAATCCACCAACAGAAACAAACAAAACCCTCACACATACAATGTAAAACTGTGTCGCTTACTCATTTACGTAGAGAAACCTGAAAACAAGCTGAAAGTCCCTGCCTTGTCATGCTCTTTGAAAAGTTAGCTTTGGTTGGTTCACCATTGAACACAAAGCAGAGAGGTACAGTATGAGTCTTATCATATGTAACACTGCAGGTTAGCAGTTAAATGTCACACAAAGAAATAGCTCAGGAGACACAGAGACTCATGAGAAATTGTATTGCAGCCTCTTGACTGGGGTCGTTGATATTCAAGCATTTTGGACATGCTTTTAAATGGGCAGCCATGATGCTACTGGATGTAAACACCTTTTAAACAAATAAAACTACATATGAAAAGTACACTGTTGAAAGTATCCAATGGTTTGTTAATTTTACCAAACTCCATTTCTATACAAATAAAACAAAAGGCTTCATATTGTCAGTTTATTCTAAAATACAACATCAAAAATCTGCATGATCAAATTAGACGACCAAGTCATTGTTGTTATAGTTTATTTAGTTTTTCCTTAAATGTTGATTGGAATAATGTCACTATAATTTAGGTACATTTTACAACACCACATAATATAGGCTCTAGCAGTGTGTTTCAAAGTATTAACTTGTGCAACACAAGGAAAAGAAAAAAAAAACATTAAAACAATTTAATACAAGAAGAGTCAAATAAGACTCAGTAACATCTTTTGGGGATAAATCAGATTTATTACACATATATACACTGTTGGTTGAAACTCAGACAGTAATCAGCAGTTTACAATGAGGAAAACAATCACCAGAAGCATTAAAAAGTGACCTCTCTTGACAACCTTATTCATGTAGAGAGATTCATTCATTTATATCACATACAGTATGTATAGCTGAAAGCATACTCTAATGCAGCTGTCTCATCATTTCACATTTTTCCTACAAATCCGATCACCAAAACAAAAACAAAGAAGTCTTCAGGTTAGGACCAGTGACACACAGATGTGCATTTCCACTGTACCTTTTTTGTGTTCGTATGAAGGCCGTGTGATGATGGAAACGGCTCGAGAGATGATATCCCTTCTTCTCACTCATGGACTCTTCTTGTTAACTGGAGACAGAGTGAGTAATTCAATAAGTCAAGTATTCATTTATTACTTTCCTTTTCAATCACGGGCATTTTTTTTAACTTCCCTAATCCACCTCCACAAAGAAAGAGAGAGAGAGAGAGAGAGAGAGAGAGAGAGAGAGAGAGAGAGAGAGAGAGAGAGAGAGAGAAAAGAAGCGAGTTCTGCAACTTCCATCTGTGGCAGCCCTCGACGTCTTACTGCAGCTTAATTACAAAATATTGTCGCCGTTTTCTGTAAAGATTACTCACTGTAGGAGGCCCTACATAATTTGGACCGGAGGGTTTGTCACGGAAAATAATACAATGCAACTGGGCTTTCTGTATTAGATTTCCGCTTTTAGCCTCCTTGACATTTCAAGCTGCATGAACTAATACATCTGTTATTTGTTGATCATTTGATTATTAACATACTTCACAAACCAAATCAGCTGCCCTGCTGGAGACACAGATACAGCTCAGCAGACAGTCTGGGTTTTTTTCACGCCAGCCACACACAAACACACGCGCAGGGATGCACAATTCAGCCCTCAGTGAAAAAGGAAAGCGGGGGGAAAACATTTATCTTCCCCTCCTTTGAGCGTATGAGCACTCTGACACCACAGTGGAACAAAGCCCGTCATCACATTCTAATCTCGAATTTCAGGGCTTTTATTTCACCCAAATGCCACCCTGCTGGCCTTGTGAATTATTGACAGACTGACACCAATGCAAAAGGACACATAAAAGAGGCTAAAAGCTCCGGCCCTGGAAGAGCTTGTCCTCTCCTATTGCCATCAACAGGGAGACAAACTCTGCTAATGCTTTTCTGGAAGCTTGTGGTAACTTTGAGACTGAAGTGCCAACATATGACTCTTGACCTACAGCTGCACTATGCAGGAGAGATAGTCTGTGCCGCTCTGCCTCTTTGGATTGTATGAGAGTGAAAAGGACGCCAAGGCAAAGCTGTGAAGTATCTGATCAAATCATGAAAATGAAAAGAAGAAAGTCACATAGTTACTGGGGTATATAGCCTTTTAAGGTCATACTGATTTGACTATTGCTTGTCATTGCTCTTTTTGAAGAGACATCACAGCCTGGTCATTACGCCAAGAACACTGCCATTTAGTTTGCATGATGAAAAGTCATTCAAGCTGCCTGGCAACTACACAATCCAACATGTCAGTTTTGCATCGTGGCACTTGCATGTTTGCTCCTCATTTAGACAAAGATTAAAATGTGAAAGAAACACGTGAAAACAGACAGTGAAGATTAACTTAAAAACTGAAAACAAACAGAATGATTTTGTGCAGACAGGAGTAGAATGAAACCAAGCTGTCAGCAGAGAGGAGAAGCTGTGTTTGTGAGTGATTGTGAGTGTTTTTGTGCTGTCGTCTAATCCACCTCACTCTCGTTGCTCGCACCCTCGGGCCGCCTCAGTTTGTCCACCTGTTCGTTAATCTGTCCGTCCCCACCTGGTCGATCTTCTGTCTGCATGCTCAGACTTTCCTCCTCCTCGTCTTCTACATGGCTCGCATCCTCCTCCCTTTCCTCCTTTTGCTCCTCCTCCCCCTGCACCTCCATGCGGACCTGGTCTTTCAAGTCCAGGGGTAGCGTTGCGCCGAGACCTCCAGCGTCGGCATCGCCATTGATATCATTAGCTCCATCTGGTCCTCCCAGTGCATCCAGAGGACTGTGTTGACCGTCTTTAACAGGGGAGGAGCTGGCGGACTCGTGACTGACAGGAGAGATGTCACTGCTGCTGTTAGTGTGATTGATGGATGGAGAGGTGGATGCCGAAGGTGGTTTTAGAGGAATCTGCCATGAAGGGATCTTTGGAACAGCGGGAGTAGAAGGGAATTGTTTTCTGTAGGGGTCGGGGTATTGGGTGTATAAGAGAGAGGAAGAGGCATGATCAAGGAGACTGCGATCAAAGTGTGTCAAAAGAAGCTTTCCAAAGATGTAAAGCATTTAGTTGATAAACTGAGACCACAAAACTACAGATAGCTTCCTACATCAGGTATTCCATGAGAACATGTCCTTAACACTAGTTTACATTTTAGCATTCAAACACACACACAAAGGACCGTGAGTATTTCTTATAATTACAGAAGAGAAAATGACTCTCCCCCCCACCACCCCCCTATCCCAAACCACCAGATGTTCATCACACCTGGAAAAGGAGCTCTAAGATTTTTTTTTTGTAATTACATCCACTGCAGCTTTTAAGATCAAGGAGACAATGCTGAATGTTAATGTGATCAGAACATCTTGATGGTTAAAAAAAACAGTTTGGAGATGATTTGGATCATTTGAACGGGAAGGGAACATGTTTTAAGACAGATGGTGATACGGAGCTTTTATTTTGTGATTCAAGTCTTCGCCAGAAAACTCATTGTGAGAGTCAGGGGGGAAGTCAAGAAAGCAAATGACAAAGGGATTATTACTGATTAGAATGTATGAGGGGAACAAAACATGCTCAACTAGACAGTTCTGAGGCAATTTTTGTCCTAGACAGTTTTCTGATGTACACTCTTACTTCAGGCTTCATTATCAACACTGATACGTAATAATGCATGCTAATGGGCCTGACTGAGCTGAGCTGTGCCTGACTAGATTCAGTTTTAAACCTGGAAGACATACGTAAAATCATAGGCGATAGTGACAACATTAAAATATGTAAATGTGGTTCATAGAAATAAAGTAGGATTTTACACCGACAACGAAAAAAAGATAAAAGTATATACATATTATCACAGTTCTACATACAGTAATATGAACCATTTCTTTATTTTTTTTATTTTAAAAAGTAATATTTCTCAATGATTATAACTACTCTGTTGTTTAAGGCTGGAATAACACATCAAAATTCCCGACTGAATCTGATTGCAAGTCTTGTACGGATTTGAGGTTACAGATGATGTATTCCCCTCCCCGCCTAAATCCAGAAACACTTTGGTGTTTCTTTCTTTCGAATATGAACGACCAGAGAGCAAATCTCTGAGGGAAACCACAAGACGCAGTTGAAAAGCTATGCAAAAATTAGTCAGTGTACCCTGACTGTAAATAACTGTTTCCTTTATACTTTCAGACTGGAAATAAAAATTCTTCCTTGGAGATAGATGAGAGGCAGCATTTATTTTTTTGCTCTTATGACAAATATTCTTATTAAATTGATCTTGACCAACCAATCTACTGTTGTTATATTTTTTTGGTAAGCGCATGAGTCAAGAGAAAGATGTTTCTATAATCACATTAAGATGAGGAGTAAACACAGTATGTAGTAGAAAACTCATTATCATGTTGATAGTGACTGGTATCTTTGAAACCCCGTCACATAGTTCAAATAGACTAAAGCAGGAACTCAAATGTTCAGCAAAACAGTGAGTCATCTGCCCTAAAACACACATACACACACGTACACACACGTACACACACACTGTTTTATGTAGAGACACCTAGGGACTTTACCTGCTGAGCAGTAAGCCCTTCAAAGAGCCGATCTCAGCCTTCAGCTCTCCAACTGATTGGTTGTCCAATACACGGTTTGTTGAAGAGGATGCCTATAGGAAAAACAAGTGAGACAAATACACAACTGTTACTGACAAATACACAAGCTAAGTTCAGGTCACTGACAGGGTCGGAGAAAAAAAGTCAACAAAGGCCTTTCAGCAACTCCTTTGTGCTTTGTCTCAACAAAATAAAAAAAATAAAAAAATAAAAAAGCTTTGTTAAAAAAAATTGACATATGATACAAGGTAAACAAATATGGCAAATGCAAATATTAAAAAGCCACAACTTGTTGTGTAGTCAGGCCATGCATCACCATAACAACCTCAAAACTTCCAACTGCTGGTGATGAGAGACGTAAGATAAACAATCCAACTACAGTCACCTTTATGGCCTGACTGCTCAGAAAGTCCAGTGAGTGTGAATCATGCTGTTTTTACATAATTTTCCATACTATCTAGAAAAGATTAGGCCAGTGTCCAGAGTTTTGGATAATGACTTTGTCTTTAACAATAGCCACATTCATGAAGGCAGACCATAGCTTAGCAGTTTGTTTTGTTCTTTTTGTCTTTTATCAAAGGCATGTGTTATCGCACAAACCGGTGCAGCATGAAATGCTTCTGGGTATTTGAATGGCAAATTGCTGCCAAAAATCTGTCCCTGCAGCACTTTTTTTTTACAGATAGGCAGGACTCCGACACAGGCCTGTAAAATGGCAAGTTTAAGGTCTAGAGACAAAATATCACATTGCAAGAGTCAATGATATAAGTGGACATCAAGTCATGAACATTCAGGAATTTCTTAAAGCATCAACCATTGGCAAACCTAAACGTGGAGATTTGTAAACATGAGTGTTTATAAAAGGTCAACAAGGTAACATGGTTCCTCCTTTTTTAAAATCCAAACGTTTTTCAGGCTCAAACTTCATCGTACATTTTTTAAACCAAAGTTAAACCCTTTCCACACATACGGAAATCTCCTGAAAAACTTCGGAGATTTGGCCACCGGAGGTTCTTTAGGCTATGTGTGAACGCAAACAGCCGCGTTTACCTGGAGACTTTACCTGGAGTTTCTCCGGCCAGACCTTTAGTATTTTATCTGCAGAAAATCCGAGTGAGCTGATGTCTGAACACTGGAGATTTCAATTTCAGTCAATGAAAACAGAATGATGTTTATATTCAGTGGCTGCCTAAAGTGTCTGCACGTGACCACTACGATCTCCGTGCCCGTAATTAAACGGCTGCATTCTGTTTTCTGTTCGTCAGTATGTTGTTCTCCTCTCTTTTGTGGATGTTGTCATTCCATTGGACTACACATAGTATTGATATAAAGGCAAATATTCTCATTATAGCATTGTGTAGCAGACTCTGTTGCTACGGCCGCTACTTCCGCATTTTTTTTTTTCCGTCACTTCTTACGTCGGGAAATCCCCCGACCCCCCTCCCCTCTGACAGGGATAGTCTCCAGCTGTGAGGAGCATATGTGAACGGCTTGGCTGGAGAAGTCCTCCTGTAAATATCTAGATATTATCCGGAGTGCATATGCGAAAACGGCTTTAGTGAGTAAAGGAAGAACATACGGCCAAACAAATGGTTTTAAAACAAGTTCTTAATATGTTGTTTTACATTCTGATACTGCTTAAAAATTCCCATACCTTGTATTTAGTATTGTCAAGGAAGGCCTCGAAGTCTTGCATTTTATCGTTATGTCTGTGAAACCTCTGGAAATTACTGGTGCTTCCTTTCCTCCTACAGGTATCACTGTTTTCCTTTAGTTCAATGCATTAAAAACTTTATCAAATGTTTTACCTGCTACATTTATAATGCCTTTTTTCAATGAAGTTTGAAAATGTATGGACAAAAGTTAAAAAGTTAAGGATGTCTGTGCAACTTTGTTTCACCTTTCCCTTAGAATCCCTTATGCCATGAAGATATGGATTCCTTACACAGAAAAGATGGTCAGTTTTCTTTTCCTAAATGTTCAGTGGGAATATTGTGGAACGTGTGCACACTTTTAAGAAATGTCCTTTCAAATGTATTTGGTTGGGGATGTTTGCATTAGGTAGTTATAAGGCATTTAAGACAGAGATGTTTTGTTGGATGTGATGTAGAGGCGGCTCTACATAGGTGTGTGTTCAGGCGTGTGCCATACATCGTGCCTGGCTTTTGAAAACATCAAAGCTTCTGTGGCCTGAGCTCTTTCATACATGGGAGATGAGTTTGGCTCCACTGGATGCTTGCTTCTAATACCATAAAAGCACTGTGTGTGCTTGAATGATTCAATACATCTGAACTTGATATTTCAGTTGAGAATCTGGGCAATATTTCTTTTTCACTTACAAACAATTATTAATATATTTTAAATTAAAATTTTGGTAGATTTTCTCTTTAATCACTGCACTATTTTATCCTCCTATTCTTTTCCTCTGATAGGGTGGGATTGCTTTTGCAGCAAATTTAGAAAAAAATCTCCCCTTAAACCCCAGGCCTGGTTTCCCAGGCCAGATGAGACATATAATTCCTCCAGCGAGTTCTGGATATATCCTATAATCTCCACTCTTTTGGAAATGCCTGGAAAACCCCTAAAAGGTGGAGCCCAGGAGTCATCCTAATCAGCTATCCAAGCCACCTCATGTGCCTCTTTTTGATGCACAAGAACAGCGACTCTACTCCAACCTCCTTCAGGATGTCTGAGCTCCAGAAAGTAATTATTAGGCTGAGCCCAGTCCTCTAATGATGAAACTCATCTCTGCCCCATGTATCTTAGTTGTTATATTTTCTGAGGGGGTTAGAACTTACATGGTCAAATGAATAGGCTCGCTTTTTGGCTTAGCAATTTCCACCACAAAGGTCCAACACAATACCCTCATTACTGCTGACTCCACATGAATCAACTTGTCCATCTCTAAGTATTTTACACTTGACCATTAAGCTTTGGTTAGGAACTCATTTCAACTGGCAAAGGGTGATCCAACATGTTTGGCAAAGAACCATTGACTCAGACTTTTAGCTGCTGACACCAACAGGAAATGTCTCTTCAGTAAGCAAAGATTCCAAGGTCTTCAAACTGCACAATCTCCTTTCTGCCTGTTTCAACCTTCAGATCATGTCCATAATGATCCAAGGCAGGATGGATCATTGACAAGGGGCAACCCTAGCAAATCAAACATCCAATGAAAATGTGTTTGACAAAATTGGCAGGGCTCTCACTTTGGTTACACAAGGACTGGATAACTTTCAGCAAAGCCCCTGGTTACCTTTACTCCTGCAGTATGTCACAAAAGCATGTTCAGAGGACGTGGTCATAATCTTTCTCCAAGTCCAGAAAACACATACAGACACACACTGGATGGAGAGACTTCAATTACCTATCCAAAAACTCTGCCAGGGTTAGGAGCTGGTCTATTGGTTTCAAGGAAAGGCAGGTTACCTATTAACCTTCCTGACTTTCCCATTGACAATCAGTTGGAGACTCCTTTTCAAAACCCTGATATAAACTTTTCCTGGAAGGATGAGTGGTATGATAAAATGATAACTGGAGAACACCTTCAATTCTCCTTTTTAAAAATGAAACCTACCCAAGGCAGCCCAACAAGATCCAGTACCAACAGCATTTCCAGGTGTTAGTACGTATTTTCATGAATTCAACAAATGAGTCAACAACTGTTATACAAAGTGTCTACATCTGTTACGTATACAAATCAGTGTCAAGTCATCTTTATTGCTTTATAGTGATGTACCCAAATGGAAAGGAATTCGTGGGCAGTAAAGCATAAAGCATAAAGGCAACACTGTGAAGATGAAGACTTTGTCAATGATTGTCAATGAGTGCCAGCGATTGTGAGATCTTAATCAGCATGGGTCAGCAATGGTCCGCACATGTATGTTGTGTTTCTATGCTGTCTGACCATGGCTGAATAAATCCTAAGATGATCCACAGTCTGTTTCACGATTTCATCTTTGTCCATTTAATACAGAAACAACCCCCACCTAACACCAGGCCAATCCTGTGCACAACATGAGCCTTGCCACTAAGGGGGCTTCTTGACTACCTCAAGGAATTTTCCTGGTATGGGTGAGTCTTCCTTAAAGTCTTCACTTTGACTCTGCATCCTCCAAGAAGGACATGTTTGTGGGGTTTGTAGCTCCACAAAGTGCTTTTTCCAACTCACAACACTCTCCCCAATCCAAGGCAGGTTCAGTTTCCCTTCCTTGAGGCAACGTTTAACACTTGTCTATTGCCTTCCCAAACCCTCCCATACTTAGTTTTTGCTTTACTTCTTCTTCTTCTAAAAAAAAGGTTGTTTCAGAGTAGAAAACCACTGATGTACATGACTACACCCACACTTCATCACAGAGATTACCTATATAAAAAGCAAAAACAAGTGCAAGAATAGGAAGACAGACTGATGAGCCTGAGAGGGAGAGGAAAAAGACAAGGGGAAAAAGTGGGATTAAAGAAAAGTAAAAACTGTAATTAAGACTCACCAGAGGAAGCTTGTTAGGAAGCGTGGACCCCCTATCGAGGGGAGAGGGATAACTTGGACTCTTTCGCTTGTAATTAAATCTAAGAGAAATTAATTGAATCACATCTGAAAGGGATCAGACTCATTTACAGTGGAAGGAGGGAGGCAGAGGAGGAGAAGTGAAGGGAGCTCGAAAAGAAGCTGAGGAGGAAAGAAGGTTTTTTTTTTAAGTAGCTCTTATCGACTCCTAAACCTTACTGATAAGGAGCAGTGTTTTAGTGTTGGTGCATTGGAGGCCGGCTGAAGACACTCTTATTACAGCAGTCACCTCATTAGAACCATCTTAATCCCTCCCCTCCCTAAGGCACCCGTATAATAAGGCTGGATTCTCCTTCTCTCTCATTTTACATCGGAAAAAATTAATTGCTGTTTGTGCTGAGCTAAAAGAACTCAAAGCCCACAGAATCCACTAAACAAAGAATGCAAATCGATCAAAAAGACTAAAATGTGAGGGTTTCCATTCACTTGTATCACTTAACATGAGAAAAAAGAGCCTCTAGAGTGGAATAGTTAACTACCAGCTATACACATAATGTGCATTATCTACAAAGCAGCGCCATATCAAATCTCACATCAAGACTTGTCACACAACACTACCACTGACATATGTCTTATTAAGTCTGAAGAAACCTAATTAAATGATTGGCCAGGACTGAATGTCAGCTTTGAGATATAATATGAGTGTGTGTGCACACAATGTGTAAGAATCTTGTGTTAAGTGCACTAGCTGCTTAGGCAGAGTGGAGGGGTATCAGTGACTGGAGAGATTGAAAGAAACATGGCTGCCTTTAAAAGCCCCCCTGATGTGCTGACACATATCCAATAGACAGTTTGAATGTGTTATGATGCGACTTAGCAATGATTTAGCGCCTTTGATTACAAAAACACCTTCATCAGGCGGATACATCCAGCTTTGTAGTATACAACACAAGAGTGGAGACAGTACATGTTTGATTTTGCAATGCAGAATTTGACCTGCACTGTTTTATTCTTTTACAACTTTTAAAAGTTGTTTTGTTTTTTGGTAGACAATTGGATGTTTTCTTCACACTTTATATAAATGCCCTCCATAATGTTATAATTTGTTTTATTCTGTGACTCTTCATATTTATTTGTTATATTGTGAGTCTGTTTTTTTTTTTTTTTTTAATATTCCCTTACAAAGAGCTTTATTTTTTCTGAATTTTTAAAATAGCAAGTAAATGTGTGATTGAAATCCTTTATTTCCTTGTAGACAATTTAAATGCACACATCCTACTGATTAAATCTGTGATTCTACAGTTTCTAATTGCTTTGATCATGTGGATGTATTTATGTTACGAGGCCTTGAATGTCTATGAAACGCTGGACTTTAAAAAAAAAAGGTATTAATTATTCTATGCATATTCAAGCTGTTTTTATCATTTACTTGAGCTTTCTGTCCTGTACAATAATTTACCCTGAATAAGGGAATATTTATAAAAAGTGGCTCATAAAACATTACTACACGTGTGAACCTTTTGTGCTTGTTCTACCACACTTCCTAAAAAGTAAAGAACATGATTCCCCACTTGGCATTCCACACAGCAAAAACAGTATGCATGAACAAACAACCAACAATCAAACACATAAAACCAACCAATCAACCAACCAAAACCAAAATAATACATCTCGACCTACGAGGGAGATGCCAGCTCTTATATTACCAACCACTGGCACTGGCTGGACGTGTTTGTCTCTGTGCTGAATACTGTACTGTTTCTCTTTAACTGGTTAAAAAGCTGTGTAAGTAATATGTCTCGGGTGGGTGCCTGGGTGTGAAAGGGGTCGGCCTCTTTCTGCTGGTTAACTAAGTGCTTAAAAAAAAAGAAAACATATATTACAAGCAAAGAAAAAAAAAGACTATCAACTCGAGCAGCACCCAAGGACGGCAATGCATCTGGCTAAATGAAGATAAATGCCTGTGGACCATTAGCAACAAGATAAGATCTTTAACAAGCCTTGTTTAAGAGTGTCTGAAGGCAAATTAATTCACAGTTACTCTGCCGGCAGACAGTGTGTTTTCTTGTAACGCATGTATATTTATGATGGAATTAGTTTCAAAAGGAAGTCCCAAGAGGAGTGTTTTTGAGTGGAAACACTGGTACAGTGCAATTGATTCCACTCTATTTATGCACTTTCCCAGTGGCAGTTTGTCTCGCACAAGCAAGGAGGCGGTTTCTAATCTTCGATGTAGTATCCACTAATAAAGAGAACGATCAGTGAGTTGAGACAGCAGGGTAAACACAGTTAAAAGGCAGATTTGTAATGATAATAAGACAGAAATAGACTTGGCTGTTTAACATCAGGGATTAATCACCCTCTGGAAAATCTATTCTGAACACCAGTGGTACAATACAGCAGCGTGTGTATGAAGAGACATGATAACTGAGAAATGGTGAAAAAGAAGGGAACTGTCTCAGTATGTAAAGTATGAAAAAGTGCAGCATCAGCTTGTGCCATGAGTGTGCGTATGTGTGTATGTGTGGACATGAGTCAGGCTGTCTAAACTCACTTCCATGTTGAGGTCCCCAGTTCGTCCCAGCTGTCCCAAACACACTCCACAACTGAGCGGTTTCCAAACTACGAGAAATGTTTACTTAGCAGATGAGGAAACAGAAGTCTCCATGTGTTTCGGGTTAAAGGCACATTTCTGCGTTGAGAGGTATAATTGCTAAGCGTGGCACGCTTTTAGCGGCACGGTGATGCAAACCCAGAAAGCCGCAAACGGTGAATGATAAGTAGCTCACCAGCTCCAACATGTGTTTTTCATCAAATATCCTGGACCTGAAAACAATTTCCCTATTTCCCCAATGGCCTGGGACAACAGAGGGCCTTGTGCCGACTCGCAGGGAAAATTTAAGATCAACACTATAGCTATAAAGCAGAGTTTATGATTTGTTTAATGGGTGTTTTGATGTGAATTATACTTTTTATACACTACCCCTGTCCAACAAGGCACTCATAGCAATTGAAGTAGACACTTTTTTAATCCAATCTGTGATTTGGAGATGACAAATGAAAAGAAAAAAAAAACATCCCTTGTCCCTTAGTGATGGAGGGAATTCATTGTTTAAAGTGGGCCTACACTTTGCCTAACAGAAAACCTGAGATTGTTTTGTTTCCCGACTAGCGTTGGTACAAATCAGATCAACCCTCCCACATGCTGAATGAGGCCACCAGTCTTTTCTACAGCACTGTGACAGACTGTGCAGCTGAGAACTTGAAACAGCATAAAATGAGCCATGAGTCCTCAGTTTTTGATGAATCTCATCCATGGAAGAGATCCACATTTTTCTTCGTCATTGTGCCGAAGCAGATGTGTCCACACATGTTTTCCTGCGATATCCAGATGCTACAGTGAAACCATGTGTTTAACAAGCTGTGGACATAAAACATTGTCTCAGATTGTCTCTTCCAAGGCACTTTTTTAGAGCCCGGAGATCATAAAGCAATTTACGAGTGGTGTTATAAAAAGGATAGCAACATTTCATCTCTGCACATAAGTTTTTAGAACAATCATTCAGCCTGATTCACCTAAACACTTACAATTCTGAGTAGATTATGAACACTGTCTATAAAAATCAAGGCGAAGAGAAACGACAATATGGTTTAAGATTATGGTCCCATGATGAGATGCACCATACTTTTTTGCAGCTTGTGTCCTGATGATATACAGTATAATAAGACTGTCCGTCTTAGGTAGTTATGACTCGGGGAAACGCATGAGATTTTAGTACACAGGGGCCTCGAGAAACCTCTTCCCTGTCCTCATTAATCTGGAGATTTTGACCGGAAACTTTATGTTAACTGGCCTCTTCTAAAATGTGAAAGTTACAGCCTGTCCATGTATACTCGAAATAACATTTATCAGGCATCAGAGAGCTTTAAAAGGTGTAGACTATTCTAATCATGGTCAAACTACAGCAGAGATGCAATTATTTACAGCTTCAAAAAGTTGCTTCTTCTTATTATAGGCATTTGCAGCACAGATATGTGCAGTCATTAAGTCAGATGTTAGTGGTGTTTTCAGCTAAAGACAGCTGACATGACACTTTAACGTTTAGGAGAACCTCCAACTGCATATAATGGGCCAATTATTGTCTGCTTCAATTAAATCAAGTAACTCAGTTTAATCAGCAAAAAGAAAAGTGAAAGGACATGTCATGCAATAGAGAGAGAATTGCTGTTTTACAGAAATCAGTGATTTTCTAGAAAATCTTTTTTGGGAGACAGTGTGGTGCTGAGATGCTAAAACTAGGAATCTACCTCTGCTGCAGCCAGTTCCTGGAGAGCTCCTGAATTTTCTGCTGCTGCTGAACGAGGAGCTCCTGAACGGAGGCCAGGGTCTGCTGCAGCTGAGTGACTGTGGAAACAAGCAGAACAACACAGGAAACTCAGCACACTGCAAATAAACAGTATCAAGAAAGTAAGATTGTGCGATACGATTCTTTTGGTGCCACAAAAACTGGACAATTTCCCTCAAGAGACGGTGACAGAAGTGATGAAACTCCACATGTGTCACTGATCAAAGCCGTCCTCTAAGAATTGTTATCAAAGCTAATACCCGGTAACTTAAGTCGCTGCTTTTTGGTCCGAGGCGCTGGGGGTAGAGGGTGGGAAGGGAGGGCACATAGGATGGAGATATTAATCTCTAGTGCCTGAACTTAAATCAAATAACAGTCTCTAACCTTCCATTATCCACCCAGACACTGCCTTCTAATGCATCTTAAATCCTCAAACGATCAACAAAGGAAAAAACAAGGCTCTCATTTGGGAGGAGGCTGCCAGACAAAATGTCCCCCCTAATCCTAATAAATATTGTTCTTTTTCCATTGACTTTGAAGATTGAATTAGTTCAAGTGTTGGTGTTGGACGAGGGTGTATGATTTCAAATAACACCGGGCGCAGTTTGTTGCCCCCTGCTTCCAGTCATGCGTGTATTACCAAACAATGCATTAAGTTTCCCCGAGCTGATTATATTACAGAAAACCAATAAACATTCATATAAATCATGGGCGTGTAAAGTGTTAAATCAAGCCTAATAGGATTAACATCAACAGATATTGTGGCGATCCGCTGCTGAGGTTGTCAGGCCAATGGTTAAAAGCCTGGGCTGCAGCCGGCTGGATGAAAAGTACAGAAGCCTCCTCTCATATCAACCCAGGCCAAGACAAAAGGCACAGCCCTGCTTGGAGGCTGCCTTTCTTAAAAAAAAAAAAAAAAAAAAAGACAAAGAAAACAACACAGACAAAATATTTGATCTTTCAAAGAAAGCTAATATCTTGCAGTGACACCTGTGTTTAAATGGGTGGGGTTATATCAATATAGGTGGGGCGCTGAAACGTTTGATCTTTTCATGCTTGCAGAATCCTTGGGGATGCGAGTTTGAGCAGGATTGGTGGTTGGGGAAAAGGACCATTGTGCAAACAGTTTGGGTTTGTAACTCTGTGATCCAGAGTGGAACCACACTTTCTGATGATGGCAATAAAAGTTAAAAAAAAAAAAAAGTGTCCATCCCTGCTTAAAAAGGTGTTTCTATGACAGGGTGTGCACGCTAAACAGAGGGCTACCACATTAATCTCTGATCCCTCCTCACCACAAAACAGCTTATCCAGATGTGTGGGTCAGCCTGCCAGCCTGTAAGGCTGTGCCTCCTGAATTACCACTGGCACCACTTTTTCAGCCACTTCAGCTAAACAGCTAAACTCTTTTCATGTCCCTCCACAAAGTTTACTCCTTTGTACTGTTCAGACAAAAATTGAATAACTTTATATCCCCAGTTATCACAGATAGGAAGCCAAGAATAATGAAGTCAATGACTTTGGCCAGGCATGAATCAAAGGGAGGCTATGGCTGTAATGTGTGTGTGTGTGTGTGTGTGTGTGTATGTGTGTGTGCGCGCGTTTACAGGACGTGAGAGAGAATCGGAGACAAGATGATGTGCGAGGCTTGCAGCTGCTGTGAGGAGGGTGCACATTGTGTATTCAGTAAATTATTCAGTAAATACCTCGATATAATGTACACTACATATGTCCAGGCCTGTCTCTGTCTTTAATGGCCAGCTGGTCACCAATATGGCTCCCACTGACAAAGAGTGCCCAAACAGCCACACAATTCCATTACAGCCTGGGCGCGCTGAAGTAGTTCCAAGATCCATTCATTAATTGTCTGTGTGAAGTTGTAGGCAAATCATAATGGGAGTCAAGGCCCCTACTCTCGAGCTGGGGCTGGCGAGAGAGACTAATGTGGTCTCCATTCAAAGGGATACATCACCTCATTGGGCCCGGCACTAGAGAAATACATGAACTTTAACAAAAGGGGGTTCAAGCAATTGGCAGCAGCGACGCAGTCGGTCGCTATTACTCAGTGCAGCGAGGAAAAGGGAGAGAGAGGGAGAGGAAGACAAAGGGAAAGCAGTGGCAGAAAACTCTCAGTGTAATTGCAACCCCTCTCCCCAACTGTTAACTACAACAGTCATTAACTACAATAGCAGCTTGGCTACTGCAGTCATAGCAAATTAGTTCCCCACACTGGCTGCAGAAAGGACCTGTGTTTTTTTTCCCTTTTCGTTCTTTCAACTGGAGTCTTACCTGCTGCCTGCTAAACATAGGAGGACTCTTACTTTGAAATCCTGCCTTTACTGAAAAAACAAAACAGGGTTTGTTTGTTGGCAAATCTCCCTAAAGTGATAAGCAGAGCAGGAATGGGACGTGGGATAGCCGGAGGAAATGTGTTTGCATAGTTGGGGGAAAATGACCATAAAAGAACATATATTTGTTAATCAGATTTAGAGTGGCACACCTTGCACGCAATCTCACACAATTGCTGTCCTCAACCTACCTCAGCCAGCCTGAAAACAATAGCATGGGTGTGACAAGATGAAATGATAACAGCAATATTTTCATCCACACTATGTTGGTCTATGACATGTGCTGTAAAATCAAATACTTTTTTTTTAGACAGTGGGCCAATCAAACAAAGGTTGCTTGTGTTTTAAGTTACATTGTTTTATTCAGCATTCAGTGAAGAAAAACCTTTGATTTGGATTCTTGATGTTCCTCTACAACATAAAGCCCAATAAAAGCAAACATGATGGTATTTCTACCAAACTGGTTAAAACATTATATTAAAAGTATGTTATGGGAAGAGGAATTCAATTGGTAACAGAAAGCTGACACAGCTCATGGACACTGAAGTGTGACCTGAATGACATTAAAATCCACCAAAGTTATATATTTTATAAACTTACCTAAACCTCATCTTTTAGAAGTGATTTTAATCCTTGGTTTTATATCCTGTTACCTCATTCGTTTAGGTTCTTTTATTTCACATGTCTTGTAAATCAACACATAAATAAATAGAAAATGTGTTTTCTATTATTAACTGAAAAAAAGGTCCTTGTATTCCCATCATGCCAACTCTCTCTAATAGGTACCGGTACCTTTCAGATGAAAACACACTCCAGTTGAACACTACTGCTAACGACACCAAACTTTCTCAGAGTGTCTCTCTCATTTACGCCTCCCTGGATTTTTAATTACACTGACAAAGAGCTAGGAAAGCATCGCTCTCCTTGCTTCTCTCTCTCTCTCTCTCTCTCTCCATGTCTGACAGCCAGGTTGAGATTCCTCACCTGTCCAACATGGGAGCCGCACCTGTCACCGTGCACTTAATCACGCTAGGGCCAGTGCTGAGCCCAGACGCCACTCAGTGCCATGCCGCACGCACATCTTGCACACACACAAACACACATTCACGCACAGAAAATTAAAATGAACTTTCTCGCCACCTACGGGGAAGAGGGTGGATGATGATGATGGCGGTGGAGGTTTGGATGGGGGGTGAGGTTGGTGCAGGGGGAGATGGATGGAAGGGGGGGGAGCAAGAGAAGATGGGCGGGGGGGGGAGAAAAGTTGTCATTTCCCAACTCCTCATTAATATTCTGAGGTTAAGAGCTTTTCAGCGAAACGTAATTAATTGAGCCAGAGCCTGACAGTAAACAAGCAATTTCAAATTAAAGCGAAATGACAGCAGCGTCATTTGTTAAAAACGTGCGGGGCCCCCCGATTTTGGAGACAGATAAATGAGGGAAAATGTTAAGGAGGGAGAAAGTGATGAAGATATTAATCTTCACCTGTCTGTGTCAGCGTGCCACTCATTGCCGCAATGTTGCTCTCCATCCTCTGCAGATGCTTCTTGTCCTCTCGGCTGCCCATAATGAGGGGAAGGATGTATTTCTGCAATTAAAAGCATGGCACAATATTAGACTTCTCTCTGGTGGGAAGAGGCAGAAAGATGAGCAAAAGACAGGGCCAGCTAAACTTGGCATTGAAGGGTCATACACATTGTTTTATTGGACAAGTGCCTCATGTCTCCACTGTGTGATTAGGAGTTTTTGAGTAAGCTATAGAAACACATGAAAACTACTGTACATTTTAAAATTAGCTAGTCTTCAAGTTATGAATCAAGAATAAATGTAGAAAACATGCTGTTTCCAGACATATGCTTTTCTATTTTTTTTAATGTCATCGTAAACAAAATGTGGATCTTAAAACAATCACTATGATGAAAAGTAAGTGGGATGACCCATATAGCAGAATATTTGGACGGAGCCTCAGTCGACTACCAATTTCACACTCAAACCCGACTTATGACAAAAAGGATCATTCCAAATGGGGCAGGTCTATGACTAATTTTACAGTGAATTGCCTTTCTCCAAATAATTCATGACTCACAGCCTAAAATATATATATGAAGTATAAATATGAACTTATGATTACCTTTAATGTAATTCTGAAAATATATTGTACTTTTAATGAATCTCTTAAGTGGGTACATGAGGAAATCACCCCAAGCAGCATAACCACTTCTACAGAAATGTATTGGCTACAAGAAAGGTCAGTCATCAGCATGGTCGCATGCAAACGGCCCGAACAAAACAGAGGCAGGCAGCTCCTTTCAACTCAGGTTCTCATTTGATAATATAGGCTGGGAACAATGGATGGAAGGTCCTAATAGGCCAGATGAGGTATCCGTCAAAAGGTCAAAGTGAGGCCGACATTTTGATCTTTCACAGTCAAAAGATACAGGGTTGGCAAATATGAAACAATCTGTTTTACTTTGTTACTTTAACCATATTTTATATGGTTGATCTATTATGTTACAAATGAGTTGCAATGACTGCAAGTTGCAGTCCTTAAATAAACATTTGCAGAAATACAAATGATAGAAACCTAGGAAGGGATAAATCCAGAAAGAGGCCTACAAGGAAAAACATGGTGGTTAGGAAACACTGAAAAAAGCCGAAAATAATGTCATGGTGTTTATAGTCTCTCTGCCACTGAATAAACAGAACACTACCAAATTATATCTATGTCTGACAGCCAAATGAGCATGTGTGTGAGTTTCAACCAGATGAGCAGCCTGTCAGCGTGCCATGGAATCCTCTACATGTATGCAAGGAGCCCAAGTTCACTAAAACACATAATAAATGTCTTTGTCCCCACTGAACTGCTTTTAAAATCATTGTTTTTTTTACTAGACCTGATGAGGATGACTTAATCTCTTGCAGCCCATTTGCTCTGCTGCCTGCGCCAGGTTTTCTCTCCAACTCAGGTGGCAAGCAGCCACACCAGCGCAAGTAATAAACACTTTTTAGAGAAAAAGATTAAATGAGTGTCAACACGTGGTAATTAATAAGTGGGTTGCTGGGAGTGTGGTGTTTACAAGGTGCACCATAACATAAATAAAGTGTGGGCAGAAGCCTGGACATATGGTGCGACTGGCGCTACGCTCCAGTGACATGACAGCAACCTGTGCCGTCCCGCCAGGGAATCCCACCTCCCAGACGATCAGTGGCTGGCAAAGCCTGCTGGATGTGGGAAACAGTGGAGTGGTACAGTGTGTATTTATAGTCAATGAATGACCTACGGGACAAAAGAATAAGGGATAAGATACCCTGAATTTATATGTATTGCATTTTAAAATATAGATCTAGTTAGGAAGGCATATGCATGTTCACCATACATGCTGGTTTTCTCTCTCCTACACACACAGAGGAGAACAGCCTGTCATCTAGGGCGAGAGCTACTGCTAAAGCTCCTGTCCTCCTCTAAAACGAGAGTAATGGCTTCCACATGCCACTCAGACTAGTACTAACAACCACTATGGGATTAATGTCACCCGGGACAAGGGGCCTCATGAGCTCATGTTCAAGGGCTGCTAAGCCCGATAAAAACCAGGGTGATTATTTTTAGAAGGTGGGACATCAAAAAGTGGTTGTGTGCTGTGTTAGCAACTATATTTTTTAAAGGAAAAAAAATATATATATATACGAGAGGAGGGCGTAAGGAAGAGTTTAAAAGACGGGGTTGGAATAAAATCACGCTTTGACGTAAGGCAGGCTAGCTTTAATAACAAGCCCAGAGTGATGTTAGGTGCTGCGGAGGCGCCTTCTATTCGAGCACCATAATTCATCAAAACTGATGAACTTGCTAGGCCAACCAATTTAGATGTAATCTAAGGAAAAGGCAGTACTGACAGATCTTAGGATGCAAACTATAATATGTATAACACATTCTAGAGAGACATAGCTGTGAAGACAAAGTCAGAAAGAAAACATAGGCATATGGGCAGGAGGAACAGGGTGTAACTTACTTTATAAAGCTGATGAAAGCCGAAAGCGAGGCCCACCATAATGATGGTGAGGGCGCCATAGTCTCTCCATCTGTAACCTGCTGGACCTGGAGTGGAGGATAAATCCCTTTAACACAGTAAAATACTGATTTGAAGACTGATGTACTCATAGTTTAATGGGTTTGAAATGCTTGCACAGAATACCTTCTACCACTGGCCTTGTTAAGAACATAACCTGTGAAAACACTGAGTCATGAAACTCAGAGAACCATACCATATGTCCATGGTGTTTTAGCTCTAAACTATAATCACATACAAAATGCTTTTTACTCACTCTTTTTTACCCTTTTTCTGTACCCTTCTTACTACAAGTGTATGAATCAATGACCTGCTCTTGAACACTGCCTGAGTAGTGAAGTCTGTAAATGAGTTTTTGGCTTTTCCTTGATTTTTCTCAGTGTTACATAATCATTGTGTGGTTGCAGTTTCAGATTGGTAAAAGAGGACTGCTCGATATAACCCCACTTTCATAATGTAAGTTGCAGTTCATCAGATCTTTGTGTAATTAATTACATATCTAATGACAGTTTTAAAGGGCCTTCTAGCATATATTTATTCCTAATTTTCATGAATGGGAGGTAATAAATACATTTAAAAAAATCAATTAAAAAACACTGGTGTAGTAAATGTTTCGTTTTACTAGAACATTTAACGAGCAAAAATGCAACCCTATTTATCTCTTCACACAATCATTCTGTCTTATTACACAATACTGTCTGAACTGTAAAGGGTTAGTCTGCTGAGCTGCCTCTCTCCTGCTCTACCAGGGAGGACATTACATTTTTCAATTTATTTAAAGCCCTAAAACAGAAGCAAAAGGTGTGTGTGTGTGGGTGTGTGGTGTGTGTGTGTGTGTGTGTGTGTGTGTGTGTGTGTGTTTGTGTGTTTAGAAGTTGACTGTCTTACTGACTGAGTGACAGATCATGTGAAAGTGTGTCATTGTGCAAGCTGTCATATGGGTAGGCCAACTGTCTGTCAAAGTGGAAACTCCCCACATAAGAGAGGCATTCAACTGAAAATGTCACTAAACAAACGGGCCTGGAGGAAATACACTTTTTTTTTTTTATTTACCCTGCTGGGGCCCAAATGAATAGGAAATTATAAGAGGCTAGGCCACTAAAGTATACAATTGATATTCTATTACAGGTCTGATTTCACCTAATGCGTTGTGTGGTATATGTTTACTGGCTTGAAATAAGTAAACCAGATTGATCTTGTGCCTTACCACTTGTCTGATTTGACATGCAAATAAACTCAGAGACCTGCTGTCATATTGGACCATACGGTACATTTTCAAGGTGAGTGCTATTTTATTTTTCTTTCTCAAGGGCATGTTTCATCGCTGCAGCAGCATTGGCGATGAACTTGTAACCTTTCGCATCAAAATTTTTGAATCATTCTCCGGCATCCATATGGTAACCACATAAATTTGGGTCTTCATCAACATTATGGCTGCGATAGACTGTCACCTATCCCAGAATACCGTGCTTCTGAAAGGCCTGGGAGTCCTTGGGATGGGTGGTTGACCCTGAACAAGACTCTTTGCATCACCAGGGGTCTTCACTTGCTCTTTTCCCCCCCGTTAGGACCTTTCATTCTTCCTCTGTCTCTCCCTTTTTCTCTACCACTTCCACTCTGCCATCTTCCTTTTTTTATTTGGTCACTTAAGCTGTAGAAGTGTGGTCTCCATCCCCCGTTTTTCCAATCTCCTCTCAAATTTATTGGGTTCAGTGGAGGCCTTCCTGTCCTTCTACCGTGTGGAAATAGAGATCAGAGTATCCATTACTTCGACAGAGATGGATGCGGGTCCCCATGCACCGTCCCCATAACAAGGACATCAAAGGGAGGTAGCCCCCTCTTTTCAGCATGACCCCCCATACAAGACTCCCAGCTCTCACCTCATTATGCAGCTCCCTTATAGCCGTTTTGATATAAAACCCCCCACTATGGACGGAGAGCTGTGAGTCTCCCTAACTACATGGCCATCCCATCAACATCACTTTCATTACAAAACATGAGATGCCAGGGGAGTCAAGGACAGTGTGGTAATAAATGAGGGTGGAATACATCTGGAATCATTGTCATATGGGTTAAGCATTACGCGGACTTCATTCTGCATTGGTAAATCAGTGGACAGCACTCATAACCTCCTGAGGTAATAAAGATACAGGTTGCGGTGTGGGGTCTTGCTAAGGTTGAACCCCTTGAAAGAGAACTGTAAGAGATGAGCTTCATGAGCCTGTGCTGTACAATGTCAAAATCCCTGCATCTGAATTCACAATCAAGGCAAACGGTGTTTGGCATTCATGCATAAACTTATGTAAAGCTTATGTAGACACTGGTGTTGGTGAGCCATGGATAAGTTCTCTAACAGAACTCTTGAAGAGGATCTAAGATCTAAATTAATCTTGACAACAAACTCTTTTTTTTTCAGGTGGCACAGTGGGCATTAACATTAATACCACTCATATGCACCATGTATCAAAGAGAAGAAAAGGCTGTGTGTGCTCACCTTGGGTTGCAGAACCAGCTGAGTTGCATGAAGTGGATGTGGAGGCCCTATAGGACTCAGGGCCAGAACTTCTTCTGTGCTACCAGAGCGCAAGATGGCCAATTCCACCTCCACGTCTGTCAGTCCTGTAATCAAGACACACGCCTTTAAGACACTTGGAGAGGGTTGCAGTGATGTGTTAAAACCAAATGGCTCCTTGGTAATCATAATATAGCCTTAAATACTTCCCAAGCTCCACACAAATCTTTTAAGTACAATTTAGAGAAAGTATGTCAAATCTCCTTTCAATTTTACTAACCCTCTACTCAAAAATGCATTTTCATTTCATAATTAAGAAATTCCACGGAGAGTTGTCTCTCAGGGACATCCATCACGGAAAGATAGTGTGAAAAAGTTCACACAATGAAATCCGAAACTCTGCAAGCCTATTAACTGCCACCAAAGGCAAAGAAAATAAGAGTCTGTCCACTTCTCCAGTTATATTTCCCATGTGGAGATTTCATACACCCCAGACAGCCAAAATGCATTATTTTAATTTCTTCATTGTAATGTAAATGTATTACATAATTTTGCAAATGCCAATATAATTTAATCTTCAGATCTTTTTAATGATTTTAGTGATGATTAAATTGCAAAGGGCTCCCTGATGGAGAATCAGAAGGGAGGAGGAAAAAAAGAATCTAATATGAACATCTCCTTTTGTGGCAAGAAAGGATTTTATTTCAGGCACCATACGCTGCCATTGCTGTGAGTCTCATTCTTTAATGAGCATCTTGGTCTCAACAAAGGGAATAATTACAACTTTCTATGAGCTGCATAAAAAAAAATAAACATTTGAGAATGTATAGCTGAACAATTAAGAGAAAGCTGAGAATAAAAGCAGATATGAATGGTACAGTAGTTCTGTGATGTTGAAGAGGATCGTTTACCTAAAGGTGAAAAATGTATTGCTAACTTTAGCCTTAGCAGGAGTTTATCTCGCCAACATTTTACTATTACTTCCTTTATCCACTTCCATTGCTTACTGACAGAAAATCCCCTTTGTATGAGAGCCTTTTACATGAAATATTCCCTCAGGGTTTAGAGACTTTACAAAAGCTCAGAATAAGCTTTCTTCATCCTTTGAGAGACATCAGTCAAATGAAAAGAGCTCAGTTGCAGTCCTTTAAGAGATGTCTCTCTTTCATACAAAGTAAGTGCACCGTGTTATATCCCTCTTTCTCTGTTACTGACCTCCAGAGGGGCCATCATAACAAAACACAACAACATCTATGTGGAGTTTTCCTTAAACAAAACGATGTAAATGTAAACAGAAATGTCCTTTCCTGAAGATCAATGAGATAATATATCCAAAATCTTTCTACCAAATGCTTTGTCCCTCCTGTTGAAGTAGCCTTATTGTGAGTCAAATCTGAACGTCAGGTTGAAGTCTGATCAGAAATCCCACTTTAACCTTTCCTTGTATTAGCGGACCAAAAGCATAAAGAAGTCCTTTGATAGTCTGCCACACAGCTAACGCCAAGAGGAGGTCCCTCCAGTCACCTCTTTAAATGCTCCGGGGACTTCAAATGGTCATGAAAATTGTTGAATAATTGAAGGCAAATATTGGCCGGCCTGTAGTCTACTGCGAGTCCTGAGTGCCAGGAAGTGGTGAACGCCATGTGCTGAGTTTGTGCAGTCAGACTGCACTGTCAAATAAGCAATAATGTGTCCCTGGACTCCTGATTCATCTGACCACAGCAGACTACATGGTGGCAGACTATTGAGTGAGACATGCAAGGATCTCAGTTTCACCGAATAGAACAAATAAAAACATGCTTCAGGTTTTTCTCCTTTCACCTTGAAATGTAAAATCTTTTTTTCAATAATGCACTATTAGGCTTCTATCCGGCTTAATGTATGTACATCTTAATGCGTATTCTTATCTTTGATGTCGTTTATGCAGAAAATGAAAGGTGTTTTTTTTTGCTTTGCATTAAGATAAAATACATTTAAATTCCTAAAGCTGTTTTCTAGGCAAATTACACCTTGCAAAGTTGTGTTGTATGCTCTGATCTGTTTATTGTTGAGGGGAAGACAACAGCAAATGAAAGGGCTCTTAGATCCAAAAGAAAAGGGAACAAGGTGAAAGTGAGTTTTACATATAAAAGGAAAAGACAAAAAAGGGATTGTGAAATTTATTATCGCTTCCAAAACCTGTGGAATGACCCCTGGACCCCCATTTCCCATCGACCTGTGGGGAGATGAATTTTTTAAGACATAAATTACATCTAATGACGACACCATAAAAAAAGAACAATAATGGAAAGCTATTCTGTATTTCATTATACTGTATTATTTGGTGCACCTGATACACGCAGTGCCTGTTTATGAGTCACCGTATTAGCAGATGCTCAGCCAAAGCATTTGCTTTGACCTTGCCATTCTCATTGGGGCATGAAATTACGGTGCTGGCACCTCGATATTACAGCTATAAATACTGTAAACTGCATATCTGGGCTACGTTTTCTATTGTCTTTCAACATAAACCTGATCGGTATTTATTTAAAGGAAAACCCATTGCTCGTCAGGTTATTTACAGCTCTATTTTCAGCAGCTCATATTCTCGTGGTATTTTTAAGGGCAAAGAGGCAGCAAGGCTCGTACATTAAATCCACTTCTCCGATTCTGGCACTTCTGGACTTTATGGGTCAACACCTCGGCCGGACAGCCAATTATAAAAATTGCTTACTAAAATATTTTTGGTTGTAAAAGGTGAATGCCTCTCTGTGCCCTCCAAGGCCTGAATTATGAAGTTGCCCTTGGGTGAAAATTACTTACATTTTGAATATCGTATTTAGAAAAAAAAAAGATTGCAGGGGTCATAAATGGATGGAGGTCAATGGGTTATTAAGCAGTGGAGCACAACTTCAACCTGCTTCTCATGTTGTGCTGGGGAGGGACATTCTACATGTCATTTGGTTCAGTACAACTGCTTGAAAATAGCCTGTCCTAAATAATGACCAATCTCATAGAGTATTCATTTATGTATTAAAAAGGGGGACTCTGCTCTCATTTCACTGCTTTATCGCCTTGTACTGATGACAAAGTAGGCAAGGCCTAGGCTAGGTGGCGCCGTAGAGTAATTTATAACCACATCAATCCCTTTACCTTCTACGCAGGCCTTGGTCATTGTCATTTTTGTCCGAGAGGTGAGTCACACAAGCCCACTTACAAATAGCATCCTATTAATATCTGGATGATGAACCTTATCCTTACCCTTACCTTCAAACCAGGTATGGTAATAGACTAACAGCCTACCTGTGTTCCCAGTGACCCTCGATCACTGGCCCTCTACCCAGGGTGAAATCTATTAGTATTATTTATTCAAGTCAATAACAACTGGGACGGCATAAAAAAGAAATAAGTCAAGCCATCATTTATGTCTCACTGACAGAGAATGTACTGTGCCTGTTTCTCATGCTGAACTAACCTGTAATGCAACAATACAAGAGCAGTCTCTCTGTGCTTGACTTTCCAAACAAACTGCACTCAGTTTGGTAATCTGGGAGCATCAAAGTGATGTCGGTTTAGAGGCCACGGTTAAAGTGACATGCTGAGAGCCGGAAAATGCTGTTGACTTTGCCCTGAGAATTGGATTTTTTTTGGTAATTATGTGTGTAACTGCTAATTGTTTGGGCTAAATGGTGGTGCCAGAACGAGGCTCAACGCTCTTTAGTTGTTACATCTGTTAATTGTAGAGGACATGGATGGCACAATTCACTAGATGAGTCTGTTGCGCATTAAATTTGGTTCAAACACAATAAAATTCACTTGAACTTGGCAAGGAATAAAGTGAGGCGAAATTGCTTCAAGGCTGCAAGACGGCTTAAACACAATTTCCTTTCAACTCCCCCAAAAATGAAAAAGAAAGGTGGCTTAAATCTTGATTTATATTGCATCTAAGAGACAGAGTTTCAATATTTCATCCAGTTTATTCTACAATGACAGAAGGGGGTGTGCTGGAAATGTTGGACTGCATAATTGCCAATTCACACACTGAAATTGACGGTCGAAGGGAAACAGAAAATCATATTTTTAGATGAATATTGAAATAAACCACACTATAAGGATGTCTTTGAAAAAAAAGGAGATCTAACCAGAAAGACATCCTTCAGTGCAGATTAGGGCACAAATGTGAAGGGAAATAATATGCACGAGCGAGATTATTGTGTAAAGATTCTGCAACATGCAATCAAAGTGGGCCCTATTTTCCCCTTCATCAGCTGTCCAGCGTAAGTACTGGCAGCAAGAGGAATCCAATTTAAATTCCACTCCACCGGGAGATGGTATTGTTTCATTTTATGTGTGCTTTGACATTTCTGGCTGTTAATATAGAGTAAAATCCAAAAGTATTTACATAAATATGACATTAAACTGTATTAGAAATTAAGACTGACACATTTGCTGTGGTGACTGTGGGAGGAGGAGGATGATTGAGTTTCTCTGCCAAGAGGTTGAAGGGACAATGCATGCTGGGTACAAAAACATGGGAAACTGTGATTATTGGCCAGTGACGGTGTGAAAAGTCCACTGATAGAAAATGAAAAAAGAGAGTTCTAGTGAACAGGAACATTTTTATGAAGTAAAACTTAATTCTTGTAAACAAGAGAAAGATATAGCAGACAAGCAGTTTCTATGGGTATACCAGCACTGAAATGGTACAAACACACAAATATATTCTATTTTAAATGCAAAGGAGAAGTATGCAACAATTCCTCCATTAGTTCAATGGAGAACCCACAATGAGAGGCAGTGAAATCCCATTGAACTCATTATTAAATAGAAAAGAAAGGCTAAATAAAAAACACTGTAGGATAATAAATTTGACTCATGTTTTTTTAGTTCTATACATTTAGTTTATTCTCCCACCATTCTTTGATTAGTTGTTACAAAATGACATTTAGTTGGATAATTACAACGGAAAATGTTTCACATGGAGCTTAAAAAAAAACTTTCCTGACCCAATTTCTCGTAACATAAAGATTTATGAATACAGAACTAAGACTGAAATCAGTGTGCTGCAGCAGAATCAAAGGGAAGTGTGAGTGTTTGGTATGAATGTATGAGATGTCCTGGTTCAGTGTGATTATATCACACAAGTCATGACCTTATGATTACAGTAAAATGCTTCTCTATTCCATCTTTACCCTCGCCTTCCATGAGTTTTTTATTTCGCTCTACATTGGAACCAACTTTCCAAAATAAATCTGCATTAAAGAGTCAAACATATTTAATGGACTTGAAGTGCAGTAAGAGCAAAACCCTTTTGGACAGTGGAGCTCCATGGAGTTTCCAACAAAGGCAGAAAGAAAGTCAAATGTGGCGTAGTATGACATCATTTGTTATTGATGAGGCTTTATTACATTTGAGGTAACCAAACAGATGATTACGAACATGCCTTAGATGTCAATAATGAGACGCAAAGACAAAGAAATTTCAAAAGATATCAAGAGTCATTAGAGCCACATGAGATGTGTGTAGTAGCAGCCGGCAACCATGGATTTGGTTTCATGTTACCTTCCCTGTCATGGAGCTTTTAGGCTCACTTTTCACTGTTTGGCTACTCTAATGATGAAGTCCCCCAGCACTGCACAGCTAGAGTCCCCTAAGTACAGAACAGTTTTGCAATAATCCACAAAAAGTTGATCTGAGGTAAAGTCTCTGTATACATATTGCCATTGTTCAGCCAGAGCCTGACTGTAAGAAGTACATAACAGAACGCTGCACACTTCCACCTCCGCACTATATTGAACCGACTTAAATGAGTTCAGAGTAATAAAGCTTTTTGCAAGTTTTATTGCGCAAACAATATTCTGCCATGTGTCAGAAATAATCTCAATGAATTGCAAGGAAGTTGAAGAGCCAGCAAACATTTCCAGCATCCCTGCTTAGAAAACCTCTCTGTGTCATGCTGCAAATTTACGATAACAGTTAAATTAAGTAAAAGGGTTAAAATGCTGGAAGGCAATATTGATAATTCCATTGAAAATGCAGAGGGAGTTTGTCAATATTAATTTTCCTGAACCCAAAGGAGCATCCCAACTGGTGTGTCATTTATTCACAGGGCCTGAATCATGCACTCTGAAGCTAAATCGACCTCTGTTAGACCCCCCAGGGCAAAGAGCTGCATCCAAGACCTTTGACCCTAATAGACCAATCTTAAAAAAAAAAAAAGGCAGTGTGAGCATCTCTAGCCAACCACATTTGGTGAACAAACACATATGGATAATAATGTTGGTCCAATTTTGTGACAAATATATACACATACGTTGCTTCCTTTCAAGGCTTCCTGTATTGCATTCATCATGAATTAAAGGCGAATCGAATTCTCACCTTTTTTCTTCAGGAAGGCTTTTCTGGTTGCCAAGGGACTCTGTTGTACTTTTGGGTTTTGTAGAAATTTCACAGCAGTGGTAATCTGGAAACAAGAAGAAACAAATGTGATTTAATCTCTCATAATGAGATCAGATGAGTGGGAGAAGGTCGACAGGAAAGTGACGCTTTTAACAGTGCATACAACAGTCTAGGCCTTCTTTAAGAAAAAGGTTTGTTATAAGTATAAAAGAAAAAAAACATTAATGGATTCCATTTAACAGTTGCTTCTAAGCCCCCACACCCAGCTGTGAAGAAGAAGACCACCTGACCACTTTCCAGCTAAATGTGGGGAAATGACCAAATCAGCAGTTATAAAATTAGCCCATCAAGAGTGCTGGACAAATGGAGTATGGAGCTTAATTTGCTATTACCCTCTTGAAGACAAACTTCCATTCTTAAGTGCGCAGTGGAAGAAAATCTATACTTAATGCAGAGGTGATCATTTGTATCTAATAACTTGAGAATCCTAGGCTGAAAACTTCTGTAATTCTTCCAGTTAAAAACCTGCCATGATCAAATCACCCGGCCTGAATGTTGTAATGACTTGAAACGTTAATGCACTAGAACGTTAAATAGCATCAGAACATCAGTAGTTTTAAGTGCAGTACAGCGTTCATCGATTCTATTATGTTTTCCTTCGAGATGCACCTTAATTTTCCACCCCAGTATGCATTTCCAAGAATCGGGAGGAGAAAAAATATCTTCCTCAAATGGCATTAAAACGTAAATTTGAAGTGGGCGCCATGAAGTGGCGCCTCCTAAAATAGATAAATATGTAAGAACACGGAGAAAGGGGAAACACACTAGAGGGGAGGTTTAGATGACTTATTATCGCACCTGTGGTCCCCGTGATTCAATTGTAAAAGTCATCCCTCTAATAGGTTGAAAGGTTTTGATTACTCTTCTTTTCTCTTAGTGTTGAAAGATACAAAGTGATTGAGCGCCCTGCCAGTGGTAATTCGTTTTGGGTAATGCATTGCATATACTATGAACCCGTTTCAATCCAAAAGAATTGCAGTTTAAACTTGTCCAAGGGGTAGGCGTGGCAGGGAAGCTGCGTGAAGAGCTAGATTTCTGTGACAGACACACAATACAGTAGAGGATCACACAGGCTACTTCATGTCATTTATGACTATACTGTACATTTAGAAGAATCTGAGTAAGATCTAAAGCAACTCAAAAACTCTAGATTTAAAAAAAAGGATATTTAAATCCTAAACAGTGAATTTGATCAAAGTGTACCAGATCTATCCCAAGAGATCGTTCCACTATTTATTTAGACACTAATGTGCAGTTTCACTGTGACCTAATATGACCTTGATGTCCTAAGGGTTATACAAGAGGTATGGTTTTTACATCTTATCTATATCCTAAGGCTTGTTGAAGTTATTCACACCTTCCTTTTGACAAGCAGATTAAATCATTAGCAATGTGAACCCCAGACTGATGTTCTGAGCCAAAAGATCCAGTCTAAACACAGAAAATACCAGTTGATAACAAGTCAAACTCATCTTGCTCTTGGTCAGCCCTTACTGTTCACATAAGTAGACTACTTGTGGTGAAGGCGGAAACCAGAGATAGAAAACAAACTAAAATCTAATTTACTAATAATATCTAGTGCTGTAAATTTCAGAGTGAAGCAGACCCTTAGAGAGGTTATGACCTAATTGAGGAAGAATATGCTGATTGAGCACCCTTGTTTACATCCCCATAAAAATTTCAATAGCATGACATTGAGAAGAAAATAGTGTAAACGTTAATTGGCATAAGTATGACATCTTAGTAAGGTCTAGAGCAAGCAGCAAACTAATGAGGCAAATGCCCATTTGGTTAAAACTGTAGTGGGAGATCTTCAGGGAGAAGAAAAGTGCACTTCTTAGCCGATGACATAGATGCTTTGCACAAGTTCCAGCCAGACATCTCAATCAATTATAACCACATTGCAGAGGTTTCAGTCTTGTCTTGTTATTGACTTATGGATCATCCCAGTTATAGTGTTGGGTAGCACACGACTGGGCTTTTAGGGGGTTAAGATGGATAACAAGGCAAATATGGGTTGGCAATAAAAAAAAAACCCAAAATAAAAATGAGGGGAATTTTTCTTTCCTTTTGGATAATGAATATTATTTTTTTAGTTCAAGTAACAATTAAGAGTCTTCTGTAAATCTTGAATCACGCTTTTCTTCTAATGCACCAAAGTGCTCCATGTTAAGAGCAATAATCTTTACAAACCAGATAACCAATAAGGTGTCAGGTAAAGCCGAAAAAGAGAGGAAAACTCAATCACAGGCAGAGATAACATTAACCAACACACTTAAAGAGAGTGAAGTTGATGAACAGACAAGATTACAGATATGTTATTGAGTTTGAATTGGACAAGTCTTTGCACCGCGCTTATCTGAAAATTACAATTGTGATACCTTGAATTGTAAGAAATGAGAATGAAATCAAGTTATGTTCGAACCACATGGCCCGACGCCTGAGGGAATGCATGTAACCAGTTGTATATTTGTGCTTCAACTAGTAACAGCTCTTAACTATGATCTACAGTAAGACCTATAGGTACTTTGCAGGTGTGCATTATAGTGTTACAGGATCCGAGCGGTTGGGAAATTTAGACTCTGTGTACTGAAAAAGTGAGAGGCTGGTTGTCGTACATTCCGATTCTCTCGGCTGGTTTCAGTATTGGATGCAACGGTAACTTAAAGTATCTGAAATACACAAAAGAGCATCCTTTCAACCACAGGAAAATGAAAATGAAAATGCCTTACAAGAAAGGATTCAGAGTCCTGTTTTCAGTCTTAATAATTCAGGTCAACGAAAACCACCAGTTCACTTCTTGCAAATCTCTCATGTCTTTCTTTATTGTTTCCTGCAAGTTGTTCATATCTGAACACTTTTTAAATGAACTTCTCAATTATTACAGAAAATCCAAGCTGCACCGATCTACTCTACAAGAAGGTATAAGTATATTACGACACAGTTTGTTTGCTACAATAAAGACATCCAGGGGGGCGTGATGGAACTAGAAGTTGGGTGTAGGGGTGCCACGAAGGGGCTAAAAGGAAATCATTAGCAAGTATAGAATTCAGTCTCAGTGTGAATCAATTCATTCCAAATTGCCCCGGCCTGAACATTTGTAGAGAAGTGCCCCTGATATAATAACAGACTGATAGACATGAAGAAAAATTGTGTTAGCTTAGTCTCAAATTTCCCCACCAAACACACGTTTGAAGGACCAAAAGCCAGAGAAAGTGAGAGACAGCGAAAAATGAAGCTCTATATTAATTTGGTGCTTTCATGGATGATTCGCTATCAGAGGCGGCTGTCTTAAATGACTTAACCCAATACCTTTGTGATACCAGAGCCCTGCCAGAAAAGGAATGAAGTTTTAATGCAATTATTGTGTTTCCTTTAGTCGGCTGACTGCTTGATGTGCCGAAACAGCTTTTTAATCTTTTTAAAAGAGCAGCTTTAAATGCCCTTCTAATTGTGACATCTTTGCCACCTTAATGTGACCTTTAGTGGAGGAAGCAGGGCCTCATGGGAGAGGCAATAGGGAATTATTGACCCAGAGAGACATCAGGAAGTAAGGTGCAGACCCGATCATTTAGCTTAACTGCACATTCACTCAGACATTGAGCTTCAGCAGGCGTGCTGGAAGAGAACAATTCTGACAATGACTGTACAAAACCCTCTATTTGTGTCCTTTCCTATAAAGCAGCTTATCTAACAAAGTGAGAAAATTAAATAAAAAACCGTCATCCAAAGTCAACATTAGCATTAGTCAAATCAAATAAGAAATACTGGTTAACGCCAGCTTTGGTCTTTCAAACTCTGAACCTCCGTTAACATCCATTAATCTATTGTTTACACTTTTTTCAGTAATTAAAAGAGTAACTGCAGCGGGTTTGCTTATTGAGTTGTATTTTCCCTGAGTGTGGTCAGTCTTTATCGAATGATCGTAACTTTTGAAATATAAAGGTCAGAGCCGACATTTCAATAGATGTAGAAAGGGTCATGGAAAACTTCATTGACATTTGCTTTGCAAAGGTTTAAAAATAACATACAGTGCTGTATCAGTGTCTGTTTTAGAGCCACGGGCAAGGCTACAAACATGACATCAAAAGCACATTATGCAATTTTTGTAAAGGGGGGGGTTGGGGTGGACGGAAATCAGGCTTTTTTCAAGACCACTGCATGTACAGATCAAACTTTCCATTCAGCAAAATGTCCCCTACATCAGAGCAGTGTGATCACAAACATGGAAAAGTTGAGTATAGGTACAGCAGTGTGAAAGACTCGGGTAGATAGGACAAAAAAAAAAACAGAACACAGTACAGAAAAATATGCAAAATACACCTTTAACTTTCACAAAGAATTAAAAAAAAGCAACATTGCACTATTCCTTCCCCTCCTCTCAGCTTGAGAAAGAGATACGATTACTATAGTGTAAGTATATAATCCTACTAAAGCAACAGATCTTATGATTAAATATGCTTGGTATGCATGATGATGTCATGTGTTTTTTTTCCACTTCCTTTCTTTGCTTAATGCATGTCTAAAAACATTAAAAGCAAAATCAAGTGTGGTGGTGTGTTTTACAGATTCTTTAAAAATCAGGATATAAAAAACAAAATGGTTTAGTGCATTGTGAGGAAACAGTACTTCATGCTAACAGCAAAGGATTTTAGAATAAAGAGAAGCAACCAGCCCTGCTCTTGTAAGATCTAAAGCTTGAGAGTAATGTGGCATCTCTCCAAACTAAGCTTGAGAGATACGGTATAAAGCCAAGTCTGACATTTCTTAATGTGTAACAGTCAGTCGTGCTGCCTGGGGTTGCCCTTGCTTAACTAGCGAGACAGATGACTGTTTAGATAAGGACATCCCCAGCGGGGCCCAGAGAGCCCCGATGACTAAAGAGCAGCGACTCCGTCAGTGACACCTCACTTTCACCCACTTTATACAAAAATACTTATAATGGCCACAAATTCCTTTTAATTCAGGTAAAAGGCCCAAACCGGGAGTCTGGAGCTGCTCTGA